TAAAGAAGTCCAATGGTTTGAAACCAAGGCGCCCTCACATGGCTTCTGATGCACACAAAACCCAAACAAAGTGGGTGGGTCAACATCTCTTTAAATGTGCTTATGCTTTTGTCTAATCCAAGGCTCTCTCACATGGCTTCTGCTTTTTTCTAACCCAATGCAAGGAATCCAAGATTGGAATCCTGACTTGGGTGGGTGACTCAGCATTGGATTCCTGACTTGACTTGTGTGCATTAGAGAGGCATGGGAATCCTAACTTGGGTGGGTGACTAAGTATTGAATTTCTGACTTGTGTGCGTTAGAAATTATATTGGGAGGTGCTCCTTTTGGGAATTTTTTTTAAATTATTAATTATGTAAAAAAGTCGCAAAATAATCGATCATAATTTAAAATAATCGATTATTTTAAAATTATAATCAATTAGTTTAGCTTATAATTGATTATAAATAGTTGCAGGTTTTCTCGCTCAAGCGATGGAATTCTCGCTTGAGCGAGAGTTGACCACAGGCTAAAGCTTCAACGTAGTTAGTCATATAATACAATTTGAGTAACCACATATTTCAATCAATTCTCGCTCGAGCAAAATTACCCATCACTTGAGCGAGAATTGACCACAGAGCTAAAGGTCCAACGCAGTTAGCCACATAATGCAACTTGGGTAACCACATATTTCAATCAGTTCTCGCTCGAGCGAAACTACCCATCGTTTGAGCGAAAAAACAACCCGAGATTACGTATTAGTTTTAGGTCTCCTCGCTCAAGCGATGAATTTCTCACTTGAGCGAGAGAGAAATAATCGATCATAATTTTAAATATTCGATTATTTTAAAATTATGATTAATTAGTTTAAATCATAATCGATTATAAATTTCCTCACTCAAACGATGGATTTTTCGCTTGAGTGATAATTAACCACAGGCGAAAGGTCCAAAGCAGTTAGCCAATCACTTCTCGCTCGAGCGAAATTACTCATCGCTTGAGCGAGAATTGACCCGACATTACCCATTAGTTTCAGATCTCCTCGCTCAAGCGATAGATTTCTCGCTTGAGCGAGAGAGAAATAATCGATCATAATTTTAAATATTCGATTATTTTAAAATTATGATCGATTAATTTAAGTTATAATCGATTATAAATTTTCTCGTTCAAGCGATGGGTTCCTCGCTTGAGCGAGAATTGACCACAGGCGTTAAGTTAACCAATCACTTCTTGCTTGAGTGAAATTACCCATTGCTTGAGCAGCGATAATTGATCACAGGCTAAAGGTCTAACGCAGTTATCCACATAATTCAATCAGTTCTGGCTCAAGTGAAATTACCCCTCGCTTGAGCGAAAAAACACCCAAGATTACCCATTAGTTTCAGGTCTCTTCGCTCAAGCGATGAATTTCTCACTTGAGTGAGAATTTTATCGCTTGAGCGAACCTAAACCCTACAAAACCCTTAAGTTTTAGGTCTTCTCGCTCAAACGATGCATTTCTCGCTTGAGCGAGAATACCATGAACAGTAAATAATACTAGTTGGATAAATAATGTTCCAGATATGTTATTTTGAAAAATATTTTTTAAAATAATATTATTTACGAAAAAAAGTCAAAACCAACAGCATGGAAACTTAATTTTAAATGGTGACGAGGCTATTAAAAAGATTGGATTCGGCGAGGGAAAACTGGTAACCGTCCCACCGTTGGCATGCCTAGTTCCTTCAAACATGCCTTTGTTTCCATCTTCCTTGCCTCTTCCTTGCTGTGTCAGTTTAGTCGCGTTTTTTTTGCAGTGCCTTCACAGCAACCGTGTTTACCGTTGGTGAGTGTAGTGTGTACATGTCCAGTTGGATGTTCCTTATAAGTGGGATGTGGCTGGGACTGGTGTGGCTGCAAAAATTGGCTTCGGTCTCCTCTTTTTGTCATGGATGCTTTGCCAATTCAGGTTAGTGTTCGTTTTTTACAAACCATATGTAGTCTTGTATTTTTCTGCTAGGGTCTTTATTCTGTTTTTTACTTGGTTCTTCCAAACTTTTCTTCTTTGATATCAAGCTCTGTTTGGTTTTAGCTATTCACTACAAGAAAATCGCGTATTACCGACGAATATTTACTGATGGATTTGTAACCATCGGAAAATAATTATTACCGACGGAAATTACCGACAGATATAAAATATTTGTGGAATTTGATGTTACCGACGGATATATCCATCGGTAAAATAATAATTAGTTACCGACGGATATATCCGTCGATAAATCCGTCGGTAATTTACAGATGAATTTACCAACGGATATATCCATCGGTAAATTCGTCGATAAATTAATAATTAATTACCGACGGATATATCCGTCGGTAAATCCATCTCGTAAATTACCGATCGAATATTTCCGTTCGGTAAATTAACAATCAAGTAAATATTCAACTAATTAAAAAATTAAATGTTTTTTTTATTTAATCATTTAATTTAATCATAATTAGATTAATTTATAATAATTTCTTAAATTAAATAATTTTAAAAAATAAATATTTAATTATATATAAATATATAAATTATATAAAAATATTTAATTATATATAAATATATATATATATATATAAATATATAAATATATAAATATATAAAATATAAATATATAAAATATAAATATAAAAATATAAAAATATAAAAATATAAAAATATAAAAATATAAAAATATAAAAATATATAAATATATAAATATATAAATATATAAATATATAAATATATAAATATATATAAATATATAAATATATAAATATATATAAATATATAAATATATATAAATATATAAATATATATAAATATATAAATATATAAATATATAAATATATAAATATATAAATATATAAATATATAAATATATAAATATATAAATATATAAATATATAAATATATAAATATATAAATATATAAATATATAAATATATAAATATATAAATATATAAATATTTAAATATATAAATATATAAATATATAAACATATAAACATATAAACATATAAACATATAAATATATAAACATATAAATATATAAATATATAAATATATAAATATATAAATATATAAATATATAAATATATAAATATATAAAAATATAAATATATAAATATATATAAATATATAAATATAAAAATATAAAATATAAAAATATAAAAATATAAATATAATTTATTTGTAAATTATTATTAAAAAATTCTGGTAGCTTAGTGGTTGGAGTATCAGTATCTAACTCTAAGATACTCGGGTTCGAATTCGCCAATGACAATTCTCTTAATAATAATTGAAGCCTATAAAAATGTAATAGGGAAAAATAATTAATAATAAAATCGACGAACTATTAAATCCGTCGGTAATATTGATTTTGTAATTTCTATCAGTGGAAAAAAATATAAGGTTCCAACATAAAACAATTGACAATATGTGGAGTAGCCTAACATGTATTTAAACCATACCAAATGATATGAGGTAGGCGATGTGGGGCTTTCAACACACCCCCTCCAACGAAGCCCGCCGGACCAGGCAAAGGGTACTTTTGACCCAACTAAATGGCAACTTGTGGCCCATGACAATAACCGGAAAGATGTTAGGGAAATATGTTAGGCTTTGGCTCTGATACCATGTTAAGGTTCCAACATAAAACCAATTGACAATATGTGGAGTAGCCTAACATGTATTTAAACCATACCAAATGATATGAGGTAGGCGATGTGGGACTTTCAACAATCGGTAATATTGATTTTGTAATTTCTATCAGTGGAAAAAAATAAATAAATCCGTCGGTAATATTGATTTTGTAATTTCTCTCAGTGGAAAAAAATAAAAAAAATCCTAATATGATAATTGATAAAAATATTTCCAAAAACCCCTGTCTTGTATTGAATATGATAGCACAATATATACATGAAATACAGAAACATTCTAGGCTATAATTACGCTAACCATTATAGTCGGTATCCTAAATTTGTCTATTAACAGATATGACATTAATGTGCATCACTGTGCATCGCTGTCATGCCAAGCTAAATATGGAAAAAATTAATCATGTAGAATCATGGCATGATACGGTATTTGTAATCGTATATTCTATGTTTATCACCCTCCCTCAAGATGGAGTATGAAGGTTGTGAATGCCCAACTTGCCTAAAAAAGAACCAAATTTAGTGGCGCCAAGAGATTTGGTGAAGAGATCAGCCAGTTGATGATGAGTGGACACATAGGAGGGTTGGATATGATTGTGTTGTATTTCATCACGAATAAGATGACAATCCACTTCAATATGTTTTGTCCGTTCATGAAACACAGGATTCTTGGCAATGTGAAGGGCAGCTTGGTTGTCACAGTAGAGAGTCATAGGGTCGGTGTGAGTAATGCCTAGGCTCGAAAGAAGGCCTTGAAGCCATTTCAACTCACATGTCGTGTTGGCCATAGAACGATATTCTGCCTCAGCGGATGATCGAGAAACCGTATGTTGCTTCTTGGTTTTCCAGGAAACGGGGGATTGACCAAGGAAAATAAACCAACCGGTGAGAGATCTTCGAGTTAGAGGACAACTTGCCCAGTCCGAGTCACACCAACCATAAAGACGAAGGTCACTCTCTCTTTTTAAAAGCACACCCTGACCTGGGCTGCCCTTTAAATAGCGTACCACGCGGAGTGCAGCCCTAATATGATAATAATAGCAAGAATTCAACATTTATCAATATGGAAACATATTAAATCAGTACATGCAATGTAACTAACTGACACATGATCATATATTATAAGGAACATGCCCATCAATATATGCGGAAATTACCTCTTAGTCTTGCAAAACCTGATATTGGAATGCCAAAATTTGTCTTTCGCAGTTCCTTGTTCCTAACATCCTAACCAGAGAAAAAAAATAATATCATAATAATTCTAATAAAACTGCACCAAGTGGAGAGAGACCGAGAACAGTATATGGCAAGATAAAATACAAATTCACCTGAGTTTTATGTCCACAATTTACATCTATTAGATTATTTTGAACAGTCATCCTCAATGTTATCACAGCGGGAAACATCTCTGGAATGCAAGTCAGAATTTGAAAGTGTTCTTGAGTGCAAAACAGAAGCTGCTACATCTTCTGCTGAACCTTCAATGAAGAAACCAAAACGTAACGAGTATTTGATATGAGATCCATGACTATCTATCAGCAAAAAAATTACATATTTTAGGACTTCAACAACTTATGGACCTTTTGCAGACCGATCATGTTCAAAAGTTAAATTTTGTTTGAATGACTGATAGAGGCTATCATCCAACTATGATTCTAAACTTTGTTGCCCAAAGTTTCCAGGATTTTCACCAAGGGGATCCTCGCAATAATAAGTTTCTTTCTTCAATGCAGCTTTGCTTGGTTTAGCATGTGGAAAGAAAGTATATCATGTTGTATATTCCAGGGATCTTGATTGCTGAAAAGTGAGTTTGGAGTATCTTGCACATCTCCAAAGATGGGGATGGTGAAGATAGTGCTGCATCATCAGTGCTGCACATCTGTACTTTAACGCCTACGCCCTCTAATGTCCCTCAGCTGTCACACCATCCTTCCTGCACATTCTGTTAGACGCAACACCACACCACAAAGAACAGAAACACAAGCTTGCATGAGTGGGTTATGATACCTCGGCTTGCTTCAAAAGTTCAAGCTTACTTCGCCTTTCATTAAGCATGTTCTGTTGTAAAACTTAAATTACTCGTTTGGTATTCTTAGAATAATATTAATGGTTTTAGGTACGAGTTGTATAACCAAGAAATATGAGGAAGTAAATCTATTTAATAGGTATCATGATTTATTTTTGGCATTTGAAGAGAAAAACATTTTACCCATAAGTATTTGTAACAACTCATTTGAAATTATAGTAGGAGAAACATTGAGATATTAAAAAAAAAAGATAGTGTTGCCAACTTTTATTTTCTGCTTACTTGTTGCCAACAAATTGACATAAGAGCTTGTGTGTGAGGTGAGCGTGAGAGAACCTACCAAGTCTCAAGAGAAAACATCGTGGTGTGCACTGGCTGAGAAAGAGAGAGGAGTGGCCGAGAGCTTTGTGAGGTGTGTGAGTTAAGTGCAAACACTTGAGAGAAATGACAGGTCTAACCAATGACATCCCACTACCCAAGTTGACGAAAGACGCTAACTATGACAACTGAAAGGTACAAATGAAGGTTCTTCTCGGCTCCAAAGATAACTGAGATGTGGTCGAGACTGGGTATGAGGAACCGATAAACACAGATGGGTATTTAAATGCCCAACTGAGCACATTGAAGGCCGTTCGAGCTAAAGACAATGAGGCTCTGTATCTGCTATACCGAGCCGTCAACGAATTCGACTTTGAGAAGATAACCAACACAAAATCTTCCAAAGTAGCATGTAATACACTCGAAAAAGCAAACAAAGGAGATAAACGGGTGAAACAGGTTCGACTTCAAGCCCTTAGGGGCGAGCTAGAAAATATAAAGATGAAAGAGTCTGAAAGCATATCCGAGTTCATTACTCGGGTGGACCGTGGTGAACAAGTTGAATCAAAATGGTAAGTCTTTCATCAAACCGAGTTGTTGAAAAGATTTTGAGGTCATTGACGGATGATTTCAAGAACATCGTGTGTGCAATAAAGGAGTCCAAGGATCTATCAACACTCACCCTTGAAAAGCTTGCTAGGTCCCTGGAAGCACATGAGAAGAAAAGGAAAAATAAGAAGGGGGAGTCCCTTGAACAGGCTCTCCAGGCGAAGACGACAATAAAAGAGGAAAAAGTGCTCTATGCTCAGAGTACCAGAGATAGAGGAAAAGGTAGATACCAAGGTGGTAGAGGAAGAGGAGGACGAGGAAATGAGCAAGTCGACCAACAGAACTGGCGTGACCAAGATCAGGCTCGGGGTGGTCGGACAAACACAAACAATATTGAATGCTATAACTATGGAAAGAATGAGTATATTGCCAAGGATTGTTACTCGGTAAAATGCTACAACTGTGGAAAGCTGGGTCATATTTCCAAAGATTGTAGGTCCGAGAAGAAAAAGGAGGAACCAACAAACTTCCTTGCCAAGGAACAAGATGAAGGGTTGCTGCTAGTGACAAACATGCCAGAAACTGAGGTCAAACCGAACTGTTCTAATAACTCGGTTTGGTACTTGGACACTGGTGCAAGTAACCACATGTGTGGTGATGAATGCTTATTTAAAATACTTTCAAAGGTAGAGTCCATATCTTTTTCTTTCGGTGATGCTTTGGAAGTAGCTGTCAAAGGTCGATGAATGATTTGGTATCAACAGAAAAATGGGCGAATTGGAGATATCAGAGATGTATATTACATACCTGATCTCAAAAGAAACATACTGAGCATGAAACATTTAACAGATAAGGGGTACTCGGTTATGATGAAGGACCGAGAACTACAACTTAAGGATAAACTTAGGAGGCTTATTGCTCTAGTAGAAATGAAGAAAAATCGCATGTACAAACTTGAGCTGAAAATAGTTCAAGATAAATGCATGCAACTTGATGTGGAGGATGAGGATATGAAGTGGCATTTTTAGTTCGGTCATCTTCACTTTGGTGGGTTGATTGAGCTGGTGAAAAAGGAGATGGTGCTCGGACTGCCTAAAATGGAATTCGAAAAAAGGTTTTGTGAAAAGTGTGTGATCGGGAAGCAAGCGAGGACTTCTTTCCCAAGGAGTTCTGAGTATCGAGCAAAGGAACAACTCAGATTGATCCATACCGATTTGTGTGGGCCAATAACTCCATAATCTTTCAGTGGTGAAAGATACTTCGTCTCTTTCATTGATGATTTCTCGAAAAAACGTGGGTTTATTTTTTGAAGGAGAAGTCAGAAGTGTTTGAAACTTTCAAGAAAGTCAAAGTGATGGTGGAGAAAGAAACAAGCAAAGTCATCAAAGCAGTCCAATCTGACAGAGGAGGTGAGTTCACTTCTGCTGAGTTTAACAGATACTACGAGGAACATGTGATCAAGTGTTTATTGACTGCCCCATATTTTCCGCAACAAAATGGTGTTGTGGAACGAAAGAACCGAACCATTCTTGATGTGGTTCAATCTATGTTGAAAGGGAATAATATGCCGAAAAAGTTTTGGGCAGAGGTGGTGTAATGCGCAGTCTATGTGCAAAATAGATGTCCACATGCAAAGCTAGGTGAGAAGATATCTCAGGAGATCTGGAGTGGTATGAAGTCGAGTGTCTCTCATTTGAAGGTGTTCAGTAGCGTGACCTATGAGCAAGTACCAAGTCAGCACAGGACAAAATTAGAAGATCGGAGTAAGAAGTATATATTTATCGGGTACGATGAAAAATCTAAAGCATATAAATTGTTTGATCCTGTCAACAATAAAGTGGTGATAAACCGAGATGTTCACGTGGAGAAAACAAAGTAATGGTGCTGGAGTAACCCGATCGAAGAAGAAACTAGCTCAGAAATTGTTGTGCCTTCAACAACAACAACCACTGAGTCCTCAGATGAAGAAATAGAGCCACAACAGGCCAGGATGAGAAGTTTGCAGGAAATATACGACACTACAAATAAAGTTCATGTTGTATGTCTTCTGGCTGACTCTAAAGACTTGAGTTTTGAGAAAGTTTTCCAATATGAGAAGTGGAGAACAACCATGGATGAGGAGATTGGAGCGATTGAACGCAACAAAACTTGGGAGCTGACCGACCTTCCTAAAGGAGCTCGACCCATTGAAGTAAAATGAGTGTACAAAAAGAAGTAGCCCATTGTAACTTTGTCGACCTGCGAGACCGAGTATGTGGTGGCCTCTTGAAGTGTGTGTCATGCAGTTTGGCTTTAAAATCTATTAAGGAATTTGGGAGTGATCCGAGACGAAGGGATTGTAATCCGAGTTGATAACAAGTTGGCGATAGAGTTGGCAAAGAACCCGGTTAATCACGGAAGGAGCAAGCACATCAACGTTCGATTTCATTTCATCCGAGAACAAGTCAAAGAAGGAAAGATCGAGTTGGAGCATGTTGAAAGTCGAGCTAAAGCCGCAGACATATTCACCAAGTTACTGTCGACCACACAGTTGGAGAGTTGTAAAAGGCTGATTGGAATGAGAGATGTGAAAAGTATTTAAGTTTAAGGGGGAGATTTGTTGTAAAACTTAAATTAGTCGTTTGGTAATCCTAGAATAATATTAATGGTTTTAGGCACGAGTTGCATAACCAAGAAATATGGGGAAACAAACCTATTTAATAGGTATCATGATTTACTTTTAGCATTTGAAGAGGCAAACATTTTGCCCATAAATATTTGTAACAACTAATTTGAAATTATAGCAGGAGAAACATTGTGAGATTAAAAGAAAATAGAGTGCTGCCAACTTTTACTTTCTGCCTACTTGTTGCCAACATGTTCTGCACAACTTGCCCCTCTATGGACATCCTCACACGAAGAGCTCTTACACAGGCCTAGGCATGGCAACGGGGTGGGACGGGGCGAGACGGGGCGGGGTGAGTTTTGCCTCCTCGATCCTCACTCCCGACTTTTTTAACCATCCGCGATCCCCGTCTGAGTTAAAAATTAAGTCTTCATCCCCGTCCTTGTTAGGTTCCGCGCCCCGTCCCATCCCCGATCTATATTATTTAAAAAAAATAATTATATTTATAATGAATTAATTTTACTATGTATTTTATATATATAAATAAATATTTATAATTTAATAATTTATAATTATTATTAATTAAATATATATTTTAATTTATTATATTTATATTAAAATATGTATGTAAAAGAAATATTTAATCATTTTTTATTTATATATATATATATATATATATATATATATATATAGAATATTTATAACATTATTATTATTATTATTATTATTATTATAATACTGTATTCAAATATTTGAATACTTATAATAATAATAATATTATTATTAAAATACTGTATTCAAACGTTTGATTACATATATAAGTTAATTTATTTTGAAGTTGTCATTTAAAAATATGAAATATATAGTTTATAAGAAAATGTTGAATAAGTTAATTCTTATTTTATTAGTTCAAGTAATAAAAGTTTAAATTATCAATTTATTTTAATCCTTTAAAATACAATTATTTTATTAAGATAAAATTTGATATATGATAAATAAGAATAATAAGATAAAAGAATATGACATAATAAAACCTAATAAATATAAATTATAAATAAAATAGTATTAGTTACTACTAAGATTTCTATAAAATATTTAAAAAAGATAAAGAAGAAAAATAAATTAACTTTATGTTCATCAAATTGGTTGAAAAGATTGAAATTTTTTTTAAAGAGAGATTAAGGAAATGTGAAAAACTAAAAGGTAAGAGAGAATAATGTAATAAATTAATTCATATAAAAAATTTAAAAAGAGAAAAAAGTTAAAAAGTGGCTAGAAAAATAAAAATAATAAAATATAAAAAAATGACCTCATATGTAATAAAAAAGAAAAGAAAATATTTTAAAATATTAATATTTTAAAATTTAAATTTAAATATAAAATTGGGACAGAGACGGAATGGAGGTAGAAATTGCATTACCCGTCCCCATCTCCATCTCCCGACTTTTAAAGCGGAAAAAATCCAAACTCGTTCCCGTCTCCCGATTAACTCAATTTTTTCCCGTCAAACTCGGGACATGGACAAGTAGGTCCCCAGTTAGAGGTTTAATTGCGACCCCCGCCTCAACCCGCACTAAGGCCTGCATGCACCTCAATGTCAATGCAGCTTGTTTCCTCACCTGTCTCCCCCCGCACAAGAGATTTGAAACCTCACCACTTCCTTCAATGCCCTCGAAGCCCTTCTTGCCTACAATCATATCCACACAACTATTCATACCAACTCTCTCTTCCTATTTCATTAAATTAAAGATCCATTCATATACCAATATGTCACAGTTAAAAGTAGATTATATAAGAAATATAACAGGTTTTGAAGTTGAGTTAGACACAAATCTATTAACTAGTCGATGTGGCATCTTTACACTATATTAAAATGTGTTAATGATTATTAGAATGAAGATCTATATTAAGAAGGCACGGAAGTTTGGATTCTTATAACGCCCCATTCTTGCTTGACAAGTCTAAAATCCTTAGGTGGAGCTCGAAGCACAGTCGCTATTGCGGCTGTGTAAGCATTTGCAGCTACGACAGGTGGAGAATCAGACCCTTCAGAAGCTGCTTTCTGGTAGTTTTCTTTGAAATCCTTCCAAAAGAGCCCATTTCGTCAGAGGAACTCCTCCATAGCCTCCACTTCTTGCTCTAGCCACCCTCTTCCACCTACACAAATAAGCCAAACAAGTCATGAAAAAAGAGAAGAGTTTGGATGGACGCACACACTTTAAAGTGTATAGAACTAACTGACTTACATGTTGGTCTTTGTCTTTAGTCCGATTAAAGCTTTAACTCATTTTCTTGAGGCACCAATGATGAAGCAAGTGTTGCAGTTTGGCTTTGCTTCTTTGAACGAAGCTAATGTCTGTCAAACGAGCTCGAACTAAAGCCAAAGTTTTATCAAAGAGTAGATCTCCTCTATTGTCTCTCCGGCCACCAAATGAAGGGTGGTCTCTCCAATCAAGATCACAACGTCAACAGAAATCAATTAAATATTATCATGTAAGCAGGTGTCTAGTGGGAGATTCCAAACTTTGGGTGTACAGGAATCAGTATCTTTAAGTTATATGGGGCAAACAATTTTTCTAGTTCTTTATAACTTGTTCACATTTTGTTTCTAACTTTCAATATTTAAATGTTTTACTTCTGATATTTCATATTTTATAGACTTTTCCGCCAGCTGATACGAAATAGAAGGCTTTTTTCTTCCAAAATTCTTTGGGAAGAATATCAAGATCCATCATCAAGTATGCTCTACGTTTGCCTCGAAAAAGGATCTTGTGTATCAGAATGCTTCCGATCTATGAAATCATTTTATCGCAGAGTGCTCTTCTTGTAGGAAATATGAACTTGAGTGGGCTTTTAGCCGAGGGATGGTGCCGTTATGCCCGAGGATGTTCATATCGTCTGGATAAGAAGGAGTCTCTTTCCGAAATGGTATCAAAGCCTAACCATTTTTTAGAAGGGGGTATCATAGTAGGAATTATAAGTGGAAAGTGAGTAAGAGAAACCTTTAAACATGAATAACCAAACACTACCGTCAGAGTTCGGTTCCGTTGGTCCCGTTTTGTTAAACTCAACTCTTTCTCTTCCCAAAAATATTTCAAAAACTCTTTTTTCAAAAATAGAAAACCTCGGAGTATTCCTATGTCCCAGAAGATGCTCAGATCTCTGAGACGTTCAGTCATCTCCTTAGTCCTTATAATATTTTTAGGAGACAAATATCTACCCTTAGATCTATCACTCGTCTTCTTTCCACCAGAAGACTTCATGTCAAGGAGTACGTCCAATCCTCCAGGATGGACCAGTGTGCCTTAGCATCCACTACAGAAGAACAATATGTCAACATTGAGATCCCCAAAGATCTCATCAGGCATTGGAAAACTGAGGGTTATACTCATCTCCATTATGGAGCAATCCGACTTGTCCTCTCTCTCCACAGAAGACGGGGATTACCTGTCTCAGCTAGAGTCTCTCTCTTAGACTCCAGCTACCTTCATTATGAGTATGCCGTTACCGGTACTGTTCTAACTACTCTTCATGCTGGAAGTGTAGTTCTCAGCATCTTTTCCAACTTCAACGTTAGCTTGAAGGATCCCACAATCTCCCAGAGATTGAAGGTTCAGATCCAGATCACTAGAACTGAACAAGTAGCTAATGCATTATCGGCTACTCTTCATCATCAAATCATATACAGGTTGCAAGTAGCTGATGCACTATTCATCTTGGCTAATAACCAAGATGAGACACCTTCCATTGTTCAAATCCCCAGCAATATCTCTTCACAAGAGCCATAAGCTTATTCCGATGTAATGGGTGACTAACTATGAGAAGCTCCACAATAACCAGAAACCCATCCAGTTCACAGAAGTAACATAGATCTGTAGATGACACTATTAGAACCATCTTCCAGAATCCAGAAGATGCTAGCACCTCCATATTCCAGTCAATGATGATAACGCCTGCCACCAAGGAAGGCAAAATCCCAATCGCTAATGTGTGCCCTGATGGCAAACCTATCTTTATTGACAAGATATGAGGACACTTCATCTGGGATGCTGACCCAAACATGTGCGATTGTGACTGTGATTGCTGTGACCACTATGGAGACACTAGTGACGTGGATGATGATGATGATGACTTCAAAGGAAGATCTTGCAAACCTCCATTCTCTCCTTCTAAGAGACTCATCTTATCAATGTCTCTCCTCCACAACCATGCTTAGATGTCCAACTCCTTCTGTCTAAATATGAGAAAACTATCTAAGCCATAACCTACCTTGATACATGAGCCCAGAAATCCATAATGGATCTTGATATTCTCCCTCAAGAATTTTGGAAGAAAGAAGCCTCCTATTTCGTAGCAGCTGACGGAAAAGTCTTTAAGACCGAACTGATCACCAGAGCTCCAATTGGAATCAAATTCTTCCCAGAATGTATAGTTTGTAGTAAAGTAATTGGGAGCAAGCTTCCCATCAAAGATATCCTGATAGGCATGGACATCTTCTCCATGACGAACAAATTTCAAATTCTTCCTACAGGGATCAAGTTCAAGAGGGAATTCAAACCTTTTACAAATGTACCTAGACTCTTTTCTCTCTCTGAAGCTCCTCCAGATCTTGAGGAAATAAAGCACAAGTTAGCCTCTCTATGCACTAACAGTCATGAGGAATTTTCTCATCCCAAGCCATTATGGAAAAATTCTGAGTTCTTTGTACAGTTACCATTTAAGCTCAACGAAGATGTCAATCCAACAAAGGCCACTCACCCAGGAATGTCTCCTTCAGACCTACAGTTAGTAAGACAAGAATGCCAGGAACTATTGAAACAAGGTCTGATCAAACCAACCCAATCCAATTGGGCCTGTCAAGCCTTCTATGTGGAAAAGAGGTCCGGAAAAATAAGAGGGAAAAAGAGGTTAGTAATCTACTACAAGCCTCTTAACTGTTTTCTTAAGGATAATAAATTTCCAATACCCAAAGCCTCATCCTTACCCACTCTAATAAAAGAAGCCCATATCTTTTCTAAGTTTGACCTGAAGTCTGGATTCTGGCAATTAGGCATTGAACCTACTGACAGATGCAAAACTGCTTTCTGTATACCCAATGCCCAATACCAATGGAAAGTAATGCCCTTTGGGCTTAAGACAACCCAATCACTGTTCCAAAAAGCCATGACAAAAATCTTTGAGCCCATACTAGATAGAGCAATCGTATATATTGATGATATTTTATTGTTCTCACAAGACATGGACTCCCACAAACAGTTATTGGATCAATTTTTTGAAATAGCCCATCAACATGGGATTATGCTCTAAGAGAAAAAGATCCATTTGACCCAAGAAGAAATCGACTTTTTGGGAATGCACTTCTGTCATGGGTCTTATCAACCTCAACCTCACATTGTTGAGGAACTCCTCAACTTCCCGAATGAAAATCTGACCGTCAAGCAAATCCAACAATTTCTTGGGATAGTCAATTACATTAGAGAATTCATCCCTAATGTTTCCAAAAGTACAAGTCCCTTATCCAAGCTCTTATAAAAGAATCCACCTCCATGGGGATCAGAATAGACCAGAGCCATTAAAGAATTGAAGAAAATAGCCCAGGCTCCTCCAACTTTGAAGATTCCAGGCAACGGAAAAAGAATACTGGGGAGCAGTACTCATTGAAGAAGAAAATGGAAGAAGATACTATTGTGGCCATGCAAGCGGACAATTCAAGGATGCCGAGAAACATTACTACACCACATTCAAGGAAATCTTAGTTGTCAAGAATGGAATAAAAAAGTTTGACTTCCACCTTAGAGGATATCACTTTGAGGTACAAATGGACAACTCTTCATTCCTGAAGATCTTAGAGTTCAAGAACAAGATGCCTCCTAATCCTCAGATTCTCCGGCTAATGGACTGGTTTTCCAGGTATGATTTTACTGTTAAGCACATTAAAGGAAATCTAAACACAGTCCCTGATTTTTTGTCCATACCCAAAAAGACTGTCCAATTAATAGTTGACACCCATAGTCTTCCCCTTATCTTTATGGTCAAAGCTCTCTCTAACAAAGCCAAGACCATCAAAGTCTATCCACCTGGTTTAAACCCAACTACACCAGTCGATATTCTCCATTATGCTAGAACCCGTTATTTTTACTTTTTACATGAGACCATGAGATATAAGATAATCTTAGCTTCAATGTTTAACCTTGATATTCCCTTCGGGAGATTTTTTGAACTATTTTGTGAACCTGGTTGGGATCTTTGTGAACCTACCCTATGGATCATTTGGTGCGATACTATTCAATACTCCATTCCCATTGCACTAAAAACATAAACAACTTACAGAATTTGAACAGATCAATACAAAGACAAGTTCCATTTTTGGACATTACTCGAGTGGTTTTCTCCAATATCTTGGTGGAGACAAAAACTCTAGGAGATTCTAGATTGTCAAAGACAGAAAGGAGTTATTGAATACTCTCTCAAGAATTTGACCTCGATCTTCATCCACCGTCCATACTTCTTAAATCCAGCAGGACACCTATGGTCAAGAAATGAAGCTTATCTTTGGGCCAGCTTTGAAACTTATCCACTTGATAACAGTTACCGTGCACAACTAGCGCATCACCTCTATGAAGTGAATCATTACCAGCACAAGCCAGTGGACCTCAACATCGCCAGATCATCCCAGAGACCACCTGATTCATATCATATGGATAAGATCATCCCAGAAGAAGACAAATCTCAAGAAATAAGATTTTTTAAATCAAGGACAAAGATGAACGTCCCTGATGAAGCCTTCCAGAAGGTTGATGATGCACAAGAAGATGTATCCCTACTGGGACCCACTACATGGAAGCATGACAAGGAGTGAAGCTCAACAGATGAATTATTCTGGATCCACCCGATCTGACTTAAGTAAAGGCTTTAGTTAACGACTCATTATGACATGCTACTAAAAGCACGATTCCCTTATCTTTACATGTGTCTATTGCGATTACCGCAAACGTGTTAAGGAAGATAAGTCTAGATCAATTTTACTTTTCACGAAGAGATAAGACATCATTTTCGAATCTTATTTTATCTTTTCTACTTTGTCCTTATGTATGACTAAAATAAAGTGTGAATTATGCTATTTTGTCCTTTGTAAGGCCATTAGGATGTGTGGGCCGTAGTTTTATTATCTTATTTCAGATTC